ATTTACTTCTGTCTAGGGTTATTTTTGTATTGATATCTCAAAATAACCCTTGCTCTAATACCACTTGTTGGGCCTGAAGCAATAAACACAACAACGCAAAAATAATATATTGCAATAAACCTACAGTAATAAACAACAATCAATAATCAACAATGTAAGAAAAATAAAGCACACCAAGATTTACGTGAAAAATCTTTCATTGTAAAAGAAAAATCACAGACCACCAAAAAAAATCTTTACTATCAAATAATAGATATACAAAGTTATTCTCTAGCTAAAACTAGAGTTAATCAACAATTAGAGAGACAATTAAAAAAATCTCATCAAATAAATGACTCAACAAATATATCTTAGATTTGTTCCTAAAGAGCTTCAAACATGATCTTCACCGTTCAAAATGTAGAACTCTAAATCATAAATTTTTTGACAAAATTTTAATTTAATCAAATCACGAATCGACTTTCATTCAACCAACTCTACCTTCTCCCTTTTCTCTCAATCTTTCCTTACCTTTCTTGTTTCTCTCTTGGTTTGCGGCGCCACTTTTTCCTTTTTGTTTCACCAAAACCAGCCCTTACCTTTTATTACGCAGGGCTCTTTTAAAGAAGCCTAAAACACAATGCCCTAACCTTTAAATAGTCAAATAACACATATGGCTGGACCCACATATCCTAACACCAAGAACTATTTCAGCGTTCAACTGATCAGCCAGTTTGGACACAAATCGGCTCTCAATAGGAAGCTGTTGATTTATCAAAGAAATGTAGTACTGAATTTAACTGTGGCCCATGATGATGATCCCTTCCCATATGAATAATATTGAGGCCTCCCAGCACGACCCAGCATCTGCATCACATCCAGAGGACATAGCTCAGTCCGTGCTCCCTTTTCCGGGCTGTAAATCTAGGTCCCTTGATAATGACTGTGTGAGCAGGCAAGTTCACACCCAAGAGTTGCAGTTGATACCAACACTCGTACATGTCCATCCGCAAAGAGTTCTTCAACAATTTGGCGATCAGTCCTTGCCAACCCAGCATGATGGATTGCAAAACCATAAGGTAGTAGATCCTCGAGATCATTGCTTTTAACCATATCTGTGTGACTCTGGAGAATCTCACGACGTGCAGCATACTCTTTCAAGAATCTACTAAGGGTATCATTAGGAAGTGCAATGTTCCATAACCGAAGAGTTGTTTTAGCAGTTTCTTTCCTTGAATGAACAAAGTTAAGGACTTGATGCTTCCCTGCCACAGCCATTACCTTTTCATAACAAATATCATTCATCAATTGGAACCTCTGCAGTGGCTTATTCACTGTGATTCCAATATACTGTTGAGAGAGGGGAACAGGTCTGTAGCTATTGTCAAAATGGATCAGTCCTTTTTCAAGATTAACCTGCAAAAATAATGCGACATCTTGAAAATTAGGAAGTGTAGCTGACAGCCCTACCAATCTGATATGCTCTTTCGTAGTTTCAATTTGCCTAACAATCCTGCAAAAAAGATGCATTCAAGCACAGATCCTCTATTATCATGAAGAAGATGAATCTCATCAATGATAAGAAGTCTCGCTAGCTGTGCGTATGTACGATCACCAGACTTTCTGGTAATAATATCCCATTTCTCTGGAGTTGTCACAACAATCTGAGTCTCCTCAATTTGTTGGCTAGACAGCGTCTGGTCTCCGCTGAGCTCCCTCACAGTCACACCATATGCCTCCAAACTATGACAAAGATTACCAACAACTCAAGCAACTAGAGCTTTCATAGGAGCCACATGGACAATCTTGTATTTGCCGTAGTTAATTGAACTATCAGACTCCATATTCAAAGCAAGTCGCTGCAGTACGATAAACTAGGGATTTAAATAGTGGTAACGGTTATATTTTCAGTCGCGTCGCATTTGTCATTATTACGGATATAATAAAAACATTCACGGTTACTACGACTATCGCGATCATAAATTTTTTAAAATTTTACTCAACTTGTTATAAAATATAATAATTTTAATTATTAATTATAAATTTTTTTATTTTATGATTTTTAAAGTAATTTATATCATATCATGTATTTTATTTATTTAAGAAAAATATTTATAGTAAAATATTCATATTTAAAAAATTATTCATATGATAATAAGAAAATAACAAAATATAAATAAACATGTAAAAAATAAATAATCATAACAAATGATATATTTAATTATTTAATTATCATACTCATCAAATTATTATCGAATTATATTATGCATAAATCAAATAATAAATGATTAGACATCCATAAATTAAGTAAGAGTATTACTATTTATTGGCTAAGAGAATTGCTTTTTATGGCTTAAAGTAAATCAAACTTAGCAGCTTCCATGTTGTGGGCAATCTTCAACAACAATAGCCTCAAGTCTACTTCTTTAGTCTCTTGACTAAATTGCACAGACTCACACAACTTTTCATCCTCTCACCTTGCATTCAATAATTTTTTTCTCCAAACCTTCATCCTTATCCCTATCTCTCAGTTTTCTTTTTTTCTAATGTGTGCTATTTGCTCATTTTTGTCAACCTCAAATCTCACTGTTATCTCTTGTCTCTCATTTTAAGTCACGACAACTCCTGCCCCCTTTTACCAATGCAACATAGCCCAATCCAATCTCAAACGCACAAAATCACGACAAATTTCGATATGTGATATCTGCTCATTTTTGTCAATCTCAAGTCTTATTATCATCTCTTGTCTCTCATTTTAAGTCCCAGTAACTCATGCCCTTTCTACCAATGCAACATAGCCCAATCCAATCCCAAACACACAAAATTACGATAAATTTGAAAATTAAAAAAAAAAGTAATTTGAATGCTGAATTAATTGCTTACCTTAATCTTGATTGAAGTTAAATTTAAAAGAATTGATATTTTTGGAAGTTTAAGTTTTATGATTTTTTTTTCTTAAATTTGTTAATTGATATTTATTTTCTTTCTTGCTGTTTTTATTTTAAGTTTTTAAATAGAATCAAATGAAAATTTTCTTCTTAAATTTTTGAATGAAATGCGAAACAACGGACAATAACAAACCGCTATTATCGTTATTCAACGTTATGCCACAATTCGCAATCGCAACACATCCATTATAAACAAGATTCAAATTCTTTCTCGTTTTTTCTTCAATAATGATGATAGATAGTGGCGTGACTGAGAAATAGCAGCCGCTATACTACTATCCTACCACTATTTAAATCTTTGTTGAACACAGCAACATTAGTTTTCCCTGCCCCAGTAGGAGCACACGGTAGGACGTTATCTGCTGAAAAAAGGGCAGTTTCATAGACTTTGCTCTGTAGCCTGTTCAACTGTTGCATCCCTTTGAAAGCTGGTTGTGCCCAGTCTGGCATCTCAGATATCTTTACAAGCTTCTCATTGGATTCCAATGGTTTTGACTTCAGTGCTGGCACATGAACTTCCTAATACCGCTTGCTATGATGCCTGTAAGAACCCAAGGGAAGATCACATTTTTTATTTGCCATCAAAACACCACCTTGTTCAAAAGCAAGACTGTCAAGGTCAAGCAACCTTCAGCCAACCACCATCAGTATCTCTGCCAGCAAGACCCCTCCTATCCCTATCCCCCCGTCTCTGCTACTCTCATCTCATCCTTTAGTCGACGAGCCCCGTCTCTGATGCTCTCCTCCAAGTTGTTCTGCCTTTCTTTTGCGGTTGCCCTGGTGGCATGCAACTGCTCAAGAATTGCAGCCAAAACTGGACCCAAGCTCATCATTTCCTCCTCAATCTTCTTCCTCTCTTCTTGGTCTTCAGCCCTAGCCAAGCGGGTGCATCACACAACCTTCAGCCAGTTCAGCAACGGATATTTGATAAGGCTGAAATTATCGAACTGGAGATGCACCAATAACTTGGTCTCAACCTCCCTGTCATCACCCTCAGCAAGAATCTTAAGCACCTCTTCAGCAAGCTTCTGGCACTGTTATGGGTCAATTTGTTGATCATAAGCCTGGAAGATCTTCCTCTGAAGCCAATAAGCATCAATGCACTAGACATTCAAACTCATCCCCTCATTAGCCTCATGCATGTCATTATCATCAATTCCACCACCCATCTGCATAGCCCCAGCACCACATTCCACCCCATCACCATCCCCCTCCTCATCCTCTTGCATCATAACAATATCGCTCTCCACTTCCTCATCTTCATTTTCTTCAAACTCAACTGCCACTCCCACATCATTATCAAGACCTTCATCCCCATTCCCCATTGAACCCCCACCTCCATCACCACGATCTTGATAATCTGTAACCAACTTCCCACTTGAAACAAGCTGATCAAAAACCTGACTCGGAATCCGATTCAACAACTGCTTTGTCTCCTTCTTCTTATCCGGATTCTTAATGCCCTCATTCTTAAGCACAGCAAAATTCTCATCTGCCACACCAGAAACAATATTAAGCGGCTGTCCACCCACCTGCTGCTGAATCAAACTCAACATAGCCTAATAAGCCGCCCTAGTCCCCTTCGTTTTCGGCTGATAAACCCCTTCCTCAGTAACACACAAAACACTCTCCTCACGTAGCCTACGCCTCTTGCTTTGCCTAACGGGAACCGGTTCAGAAAGAGGTTCCCGTCCTTTCTCCTTTTTCGACTTCTTAAGCTTCTCATATAATTCTCTTGGTCTACCTTTATAAACACGGTCACCAAACGATCTAGAGTCGATTTTTCCGAATTTACATCCTTCCAAGATGTCCAAGATGTTTACAGAGAGCTTAATATTTTTGGCGCGGCAAATTTTAAATTTGAAAAAAATATATTTAAAAGCGTAATTAGAGTAATGTGATTTAAGCATTTTAAACTGTTTAATATCTGTTTGTAAAAGTATATTGATAATTGAAATGCTAAAAATATATAAAAAAAAAGATAAAAAAAAAAGTTAACTTTATCATTTAAAACTGCTTTTGAACCGCAAAAGCAAGGCGTTTTAGGCTGTAAAACCAAATTTTTTTACGGCAACGCTCAACTTTTCCATCCATTTAGCATTGAGGTTACAGTGAAAACCAACTTTTTAGCCAAAAGGCCGTTTCCACCAGCAACCTCTCAGCAAGTTGCAATCAAATTCAGAGGAAAGCACTTCACGAGTTCAAAGCAGGCCTTAAAGATCACTCAATCAGGCTTTCTTCTTGGTTTGGCAGGGATTGCTTTAGATGGTCTGGTGTTGGTTCCAACAAGCTGACGGCTCATGTCACCAAGCTTGACTTCAGATATCCATATGATCAGCCTTGCCTTCAAAATGCATGTGTTGTAGCAGCTTTAAATGGGAGAGCCAATACCTGAATCTATGGGAACTGAGGTCCCTTTGTAATACCTGACTGGTTTTGGGATGGGATCAAAGTCCACAGCTTCGAAATTTGTGTCTCTAAAATAACAAGTTAAAACGATGGCTTCCATATCACTAAAATTTGCACCAGCTGCCATTGCTGTAAACCTAATTTTCTTTTTTGTTTTTTTTACAAATCATAGATTCAATATAATCTCAACAAAGATCATCACTACACTCAAACCGACAACCACTCATTTCGAAGAGTTACCAATTGAGCTAGCCTCTATGATCCTATTAATTAAGTTAGCCTATTTCATCAATTGAGTCAACCTCTGATGTAGACCTAAGTTTTAACTCGTTTGAGGGTCCACTTCCACTTTGTTCTAGTTACAGGATTCTGTCTTCAAGGAACAACTCTTTTCCAGGACCAATTCTGAAGAACATTGGAGAAACTTCTACTGATGATTGATTGTTGCCGTAAAAGATGTAAATGACAAAGACAAATATAACTTTGGAGAAAAAGTTTATATTACATGATCATTTGAAAACAAGCAATACAAGACTAAACACCTTAATACACATAATGGCAAGGATTACTGAAACTAAAGCACAAGAAATATAGAAATTAAAAGACATGCTACATGGTTTAATGAGTAGACCGAAAGTTATCAAGTTGAGATTTTCCAGCAGGACCTATATCAGTTCCAGTAAGAAACAGGACATTTTCACTCTCTTGGCCGAGCAAGCCAGAGGGAACTAAGAGCCCGTAATCTGGAGAAGTAATCATGTATCGCAAGCAGTGCACGAGCTGACTGGCGGGTTGTCAATATCCGATGCATTTGTTGTAGCGTTTGCTGACGTAGATTATCAGCCTAGTAATATTAATTTATTAGAAACATTTATTTGAAAGGCAGTAAGGAAACTCAGATCATACTTAATGGTCTAATGCATTCTCTAATAAGTTACAAACAATGGGCGAAAAAATGAAAGAGAAAAAGAAAAAGGGAAAAAAAAGAAAGCATTACCTGACGAATAAACCCCTCAAGGGTACCTAGCTTTCCCATGGCCATGGCCATTTGACCCATGTAGTTTGCCACATTCCCAGATGATCCGGACGAGCCTAAAGAACCAGTGGACAATGTCTCCGAAAGAGACTGCTGCAAGGCTTCCATCCCTTGAGATAATGCATCTTCAGCCTGCTGGGAGGATTGTTGCAAGTTGCTAATTCCCACCAACTGTTGCTCTGTCAAAGGCTCCAATTGGCTTACAAGAAGCTGCAAGCATAAACATCGAATTCTATGATGACGAGCTACGAAGGAAACAAAATATTAGAAGAATGAAAGCAGGCTTTTTTTTTTTTTTGGTGGGGGGGGGGGGGGGGATCGATTTAGTGACTAATTATAAACAGAATATACATGAAGCAAATTCATGCATTAACACTTGGCATTGGAAAGTGATAATTTTCGGACAAAACTTAGATAAGGCTCTTTATATCCTTAAGGTTCTCCAATAAAACAACTCATGTATAAAACAGCTGACAAGGGATGAATCCACTACCAACTGCATTTTGCTGAATTTAATTTATCTTCATCGAGGAACCTGAGAACAAGGATACAAGGAATCCTACCAAAGTTGCACCACCTTTTTCATCTTTAAATAAGAACCATTTCTTAAATTGCATCAACAAGAACTCAAGTTTCAATTGTTTGGCAATTGAGATGATATGTTACTAGTGTCATAACTCCAAGTAAATTGTAAGATGAGATGCAATATGTTATGGTGTACAACATAACATGCAAATTCCCTATCACAAGCATATACAAACAAGCATGCACATGTTTGGGAGTAAAATGTGGCCAAAAAAAGTTCCTATACTCTAGCCAAACAGAGGCTGTGGATGGGGAACACTGTCCCTATAGCTTCCCCAAACCCAAGGCAGGGTTGCGTTCACAACCTTACTCTCATTCACAGCCCACCTTCCCTAAAATTCCCAACCAGTTCTTGCCTTGCACCCGTCAATCAAAATCCATAGCATCAATTCCACCTTCCTGCATTTCTTCTGCTGTTCCATTTTGCGAGGGAATTGCATATTCGGGGAAATTGTCAGTAGACAGACAAAAGATTACTACTTTTGCTAGAATTAGAGTGAATTAATAAAAGAGAAAGCCAAAACCTTTAATGTAGCTAAAGCTCTATCTTATCAAACTGAGGGTGATGGTATGCATCCCTGAAATGGATTTAACATCCTACTTCATCATAATCTTGATGTCAAGATAATCATAAGTTTTGTGCATAATAATTATTCTGTAAACTTAAACCTAGGATGGGATTCTTTTGAATATTCCCCAGCAATCCCCTAATAGAGACACAATTGCTTGTTTGTCAGTTGTTCTTGACAGATCTCCAACATGATGTACAAATAAATATAATAGTATGAGAACCAATCAATAACCCATAATCTAAAGGGAAAAAGCAAAGAACAGAAAAAAAAAAAAAAAAAAGATAAGAGTTTACTACCATCACATTATTTAAAAAGTTTAGCATTCTAATTAATTGTGTGCGCAAATTTAGATGAACTACCTTTAGAAGCTCAGATGAACGGAAACCACCAAGCCACAAGAAACACCTCTCAGCAGGTGTTTTCCACATGCCAGACAACAAATGGAAAACATCCGCTTTAGCTGCATTGCTCTTCAACCTGAAGATTTCATCATAGTGAACCAATACACTATCAACGATAATACGAAGTTCAGCATCGCCTGCATGAGAATTAACTCCCGTTCTCAGCTCATTAATTAGTCGATTTTGCTCTTCCAACCACCGGGCATACTCTACATCAAATGCCATGGCACCTGCAAAGAAAAGAAATGAACAAAAAGAATAGAGAAACTGAAAATACAAGGTTACATTGAAAATTTTAGTCTTGCATGCTAGTTAGAATGCAAACAAAAAATTTCGGGAGAATACCCGCTACCGCCACACTCCGTGCATTTAAAATGCACGTTTTCATAATACACAAGATGGTGAAGTTGTTTGTGATGTAACAAAAAGGGGAAATAAGAAAGATGGCACTACTGCAGCCTCCCTGCAAAGCAGAGTAAGGCTGGATACATTTATGTATAAACAGTAAAAGCCTTGTGCACTGGCCAGACTTTTTTTAGTAGCACTGTCAAAATATTCAGAGGTGAGGAAAGCACCAATTGAATACAACATGAGGGAAACACATTTAAAAGTTTTTTTTTAATTACATTTAAAAGGATTTTGACATGTAAGACAAAGGCATATGAATGCTCCTATTAATGTCAAGGAAAATGCTCACGTCAAAATGGGAAGCACAAGAGCGAAAGAGACATTGGAGGAAACAATCATAAAAGGACTTTGCTCTTACTGATCTTATAGACAAATGGAGAAATTTTATCCATGTAGCAAAACCCCAATTGCTAGGAGAAGTCTTTTGATTATATCTTTAATCATTCATTAGACACATTGGTAACCAACATTAATGCAAGATATCTCTTATTACAGTGATCTAACTGTCCACCGCATAACATGTTATTAATTGAATACCAGAAGATGGATTTAAGCAAAGCAAAAGCTATTTTCCTGGGTGGTTCTTTTTTTTGGATAAGTAGTATTCTTCTCTTAACAAGTAAATTACCATAATGTGCTACTTAGATGTTATTTTAACTGACCAAACATCAGAGGCAGCTAATAAAGTAAGGTACTAGAAAATGAACACAGCCCTATGACTCCTATCCTTCAGATTTTACATAAAGCAGTCATTCACAGGCTTGGACTCCTGCTCTTGTGCACAAATCATCTGCTCACGTAAGATAGCTAGTGTTCTTTTGCTTCAATAAACCACTCTAAAAATTAAAACCCATACTACAATCACTAGAAGAAGACAAGTTTACCAAGGACTAGCTTCACGAAAAAATAATTATTACCATTTCCATAGCTAGTGTTCCGTTGCTTCAACAAACCACTCCAAAACAATAAGACTCATACTACAATCACTAGAAGAAGACAAGTTACCAAGGACTAGCTTCATTAAAAAAATAATTATTACCATTTCCACCCATCGCATGGCTTTGATCTCCTGCGCTTGATATGAATATACCCTGTAGGGAAGGGCAACATTATAAGTAATACATAATTGAATAAAAGAAAGATTAAATAAACAACTCCAAACACAGGTATGTATGATGAAGGACGAAGCCTAACCTGCTGCCGAGCCCGCTGGAGTTCCTGCTCTAATTGTGTCAACTTCAAACGACTACTCTCCAGCTGTTGCACATATGCCTGTTGAAGAAAAAAGGATAATGTGTCTCAACATAGGAGATTAAATTTGACATCCATGCAAAAAAATGAATGCCAGATGATCTCAAACAAGAAGATATACATGCAAAAGCATCTCATGCAGCAAAGCCATTAAAATTAATCATTTTGATGAACATAAAAGATTCATACACTGAATCTCAAACAATCATGGGAGTTTTAAATATTAGAATTTGAGAGCATAAAGTATCCACTAGTCGATAGTGACAAAAATTGAAACAATCATAAGAATTTGAGAGCACGAAGTATAGCAATGGTTAATAGTCGCCTTTTCATCATTTTGTACTTGAGTGCCACAAAGAAGGTTCTGGCAAAAGAGTGTGTGAAAATGACCACTCACTGTCAACATTGTACTAAACTATCAAGTTGTTATCTAGATGAAAGCAAGGACATGCACGTACATTATACAATGGTGGATCCAGAATTCCTTTGCGGGGGTGCCCACTTAAGATATATATAAAACTACCAAAGCTAAGGGTAAGTAAAATTTTTTGGGTTATCCAGGGAAAATTTTTCCTTCAAATTTTCTTATTTCCCAATCTTTGGGTGTGTCCATGGACACCCTACCTATACATGTGGATCCACTTCTACCTATACATGTGGATCCACCTGTGCATGCATACACCAATAGATTTTCTATACAACAACTAGAGCTTCTAAAACAAGGAGTAAGGATACACACTTAGATTCTACTACAGTCACATGTTTTCAGCAACCATAAAAAATTTTAAGGCAATGTGTGATATGTAGGTCTCTCTTCTAAGGTAAAATATTTAGAAGTCTATCTGGGCCCGTGCTATCTTCAATTAGATCTGAATCCCTAGAAAATCAAGTAGAAGACTCATGCCATCTACCAATCAAGTACAACAGAAGTATGAGTCGCACTCACTACAACAAAGAAAATTGACAAAATGAAAGAAGATAAAACAACGAAAAAGAAAGTTGAATAAATGCATTGAATGTAAAGGGAAATGACGTACTTTCTTTCTCAATCGGCTTTTTCTTGCAGCCTCACGATTTTGAGCAAGTCTACGAAGAGTCTGTAGAATATTATCAACAAAAGATCACCAATTTGACCAAATTCTTATTTAGGTATTATCCATGCAATTAACACAAACTATCAGACCTTTTGATCCAAACTACCCTTTGATCTGTCACTAGAATCAGAAGCCACAACAGCATTTAATTTTCCTCTATCAGACTGCACAGAAGCAATAAAATGTCAGACTGGCAACAACATCGATTAACCTGAGTCTTTTTCCAGCAAGTAGAATAACAACAATGACAACAAAAAAATCTTGTCCCACAACATGAGCTACATGGATCCTACTACATAAATGTGCCCTATTTAGGACCATATTCTAAGTAAGATGATGATCCAAGTTTCCTTTCTATGGCTTCCACACATATCTTCTTAGGTCTTCCCTTCCCCTTTTGAAATGTGCTCTATTAAATCACATCTTCTTATTTTCGCAATTCCAGCTTTTACAAAAACAATGCATTTTGATAGTGCAATAGATAAATGCATGCCTAAATCTAGAAAAGAGCTTATAGTAACAACAGTAACATCTAAAAAGGTCCCCAAAAAATTATAAAATTAGACTGCAGAGATATGAAAAGAAGATATGAAATAAAGCATACCCTCTGACTTTTTTCATCTGTGTCCGCATCAGTTGAGATATCAGTCTTCGGACTAGCGTCAGCCATATTGGATTCTCCCCAGTTTTCTGTATAACCACTAGATATGGAGACCAGATTTGTTTGTTGAACTTTTTCTAATGGCAATCTAGATTCAACTTGGGTGGCGGATCGATTTATAGCAAATGAAGTTGGAGTCTGTTTCAGGCAACAAGAAGAATAAAATTCTATTACCCAGCGATACAACTAAATCACTAGCTCATTACATGATAAGACAAACAAAATCTACCTTATCCAAAGTGCCAATATGGTTGCAATCTGGAGAAACTGCTTGGCCACTTGCTTTTGCCGAATTAAACACAGCGTCTGCACTGCCACATGTCATGTCAAATCCTTCATAGAGATATAAAGGAAAATTGTCTTTCCACTCATTAACATATTTCCTTTTGAAAAATTTATCAGAAATTTTGTTGAATATTAATGATTAAACATGTGTAAAGCCAAGATAAAGGTTTGCCATTCATAACTCAATCCCAAAAGCTGTGAAATGAAACCATCTTCAAGTTTAAAACATTTTAGTTATAATAGTAGAAGTACAACACTTATTTTCTTAACAACACCAAAACTTACATATAATTACAAAAAGTCATCGGTTAAAAATGCATAAGGTGCACTAGGGTGAAGTAGCATAATATTTAATGCACATTGATACCAGAAAAAGGAGATCACTAGAAAACAAGCTGATGATCAACAGCTATGACCCCTGTGAAAGTATTTGTGCTGCCACCAGGAATCACACTTAGGCTATTACACTACTATTCACGAGGCATATTACATTTATTTATTTCCTAAAAGAATGCACATGCACCATTACATACTACCATTCACAGGGCATATCAGATCTACATAATTTTTTTTCCTAAAATAACAAAACATTCCAAAAAAATAATGGCTCAAATTCTGATTTTTGAGGATTAGATTACTGAATGCATACTTCCACTCAGGGTAGCAGCATCCTCTATGCGAAATCCAACAGATTGATTGAATATCCCAAAATCAGAAACGGGGAATGAATGGATCGTGCTTCCTTTTATACAACTGAAAATCAGAATTCACCAATATGTAAGTAATCAGAAATGCTATGTCAAGCAATATAACAGCATTAACATATAATCTGAGCTTTTTTTTATATTATAAGCATCACCAAATAACAATGCAGTAATTAGGTTTGTACTGCACAGAAAATAAGGCATGTCAGAACATTAAACTGACACCATGCAATACCATCACACATCCAATTCACAGTTGAAGAGAAGAGAGAGAGAGAGAGAGAGTCGCTAGATTTTGCAAAGGGGATTTTAGAAATCTCTCAAATCTGTATTAAGAGATCCATTAGTCTGAAATAACTTCAGCAAAATGCAGCACTCTACAGAATACAGTTCTTATTGAAAAAAGACACTTTGCCAAGGCAATCACCAAAAGCCAAACATCTCCCACTACCAAAGCATTAATTATCTACACTCCCCCCAGCTACAGATCAAAAGGAAAACCTAACCAATTGAATGTTTGAATCTATAATGTGAAGATATGGTGTTCAATTCAACATTAGACTAATAAAATAATATTTTAGATGAAGATTTATTTTAAGGTCTCTAGTGAAACTTTGAGGTAAAGAGCAAATTTACAGTGTGTTGGTAACTTGAAATTGGGAATCAAAGCTCCACATTCCTTTTGCTGCTTTCTTCTCATCTTTTACACCAGTTCTCGCTGTTCTACCTCCCATACATCATGATTGTACTTCCTTAATACTCCTCAAACAAATTAAAAATCCCAACACTTAGTGTTGAAATGAACTGCAAGAAGTATCACCATCTTCCCTTAGTAAAGATAATAATATAACAATTCGAAGGAAAAAATTAACAGAGGTGGACACTATCAAAATGAATCCCAAAACAGCTAGATGCAAGTGATTGGGAGAGCAAATCCCTGTCAATAGTCAAGCAATTAAAATGAAATAAACCCAAAACCCTGAAGTAGCAGGCATCAGAGAGTGCTAAACAGTTTCCTGTCCAAAATAACAGCGAAATGCTCTCAAATAACCAACTAAAAAATGCCAAGCATACTACAAAAGAAATTACCTAGGGCTAAAAATAATGATTGCAGAAGCCAAAAATAAGACCTATCATGCTAAAGACAGAAAACTACCAATTCTCAAGTCAGCCAAAAAATACCTACTGGATGAAACTAAGAAAAGAAGACATACACGGTACAAACCCATGTCTAGAGAAGCCTTTTGGATCATGTTCATCTTATTTAGGTTCAGATACACAACCAAGCAATAATAAATAGAAGACAATCTCAACAAGAACATAGAGTGGACTGCTGAGCATTCTTGGAAAAGGATAGCTCTATTGTTAACAAGAAGAAAAACCATTTGTTTGTGTCTTTAACACCAATCCTACTCTGCTCAAATCAGAATTTGACACAAATAAGGATTGCCAGACAAGTGAAAGGTGAATGGTATGAAAGGTTATAAATAAGTGACCTAATCAAATAAAAAGAAAACATACACCTTAATGCCAAATTTCTTTGCCATTTTAATTGTACATAAATTCAACAGTCAGAAACACAAGAAATAAAAGTAATACCACCTGCAATATAGAAGATGTTGACATTTTCATAGACAAACTCACTCATGGTCTCAATATTCTTAGAAGAAGCATGTCAAGATTGCAAAAGAAGACTATCCAAAAGTGGATATTCAAGCAAAGAATACAAACCCTAGAGTTCAGAAGTTTTCATAGATTAAATTTAAAACATATCGCCCAGCGATGCCATAGAACAAGCAAAAATCATAGAGACAGCAGACCTAGATAGCAGTAGCTGACAATTTAGAGGCCTATGTAAAGAAAAACTTCATAAAACTTCTTAAAGGATGGTGAATATAAATTAAGCTTTTCTGAAAGCTCATAACCATGTTTGACACCAAACTAAAATCTAAAGCAGACTACAGACACCCCCAGATTTAGTAGCTATCATCAAACAATCCAAAAATTCCCAATACCTACCACACAAATTTGCACCGACACTAATATCATGTATCCAAAATCACAGAAGAACATCATAAAACCCCATAAAAGAAAGATCTTTGAAAAATAACTAAACAAATTGCACAACAGTTTCCCAAACAAGTATCTTACTAACCCAAGTTTTTAAACAGAAAATTAAAAATTAAAAAAAAAAATTTTGAAGATCAAAAGGAGCCAAATTTTCACCAACCTAAATATACCTAAAAGCCAGAATCAGTCACAAACACCAAAGAAAACCCATATTAGAGAAACCCCAGATGATCCAAATTGACTTAACCAGCAAAAAGCACACAACTTTAATCCAAAAACCCCAATACCCAGAAACTAAAATCATTAGTAAAATATCAAAATGACAAAAAGCAACAATTTTTCAACTTCCACACACAAAAAAAGTTCAAAATTTTCAACTCGGTTACTTATATCAAACAGCAAGGTTTAGGTAAACTTTCATAATAAACTTCAGTAAACTTTCTTAACAATTATTGGAAATGATTACCTTAAAACAGCAAGGTTTGAAACTTCAGAACCAGGAAACTCACCTGCTGAAATTTTGATGATGATGAAAATTGAGTTATTGTTAGTAGTATTACTTGACAATGATATTCCAATCTCTAGGCGTGGTCCTCTTCTGTGAGAAATCTTTACACTTCCCAAGAACTAATGATTTTTTAATTACCCAAGAGAGTATATTTTACTCGGTTTGACATGAATTTTTGTTGTGTTTTTATTCGGTTTTTTTTTAACTTTTTTTTTCTGTAAAAACTGTATCAGAGATACTGACACAATATCAAATAACAATACAGCAAAATCTTTGATCACTGTCATGTAAGAACCAACTTTGGCTTTTTTCTCTCATGTTTGAATCTCTACTGTTATTACAGTACTCTTTCTGATTTTGTCAGATCCGTGTTTTTTTTTTATAATTCCCAATTTATCATTAATTCTCGAATTTTTACCTAATTAATTCGATATTAAATGTCTAAATTTTTAAAAATTGGTAATTTTTTGAAATTTAATCAACATATTTTTTTTTAAGTAATTTTTTTATTTTGTCACTTCAATTATTTTGAGTAATTTCATTGTAAAAACAAAATTTTGTTCGAGTAATGTTCTTTTAACTTGGGTGAAATTGTCATTGTATAAGTTTACGATGGAGCTTATAAATTTGTTCATAAATAAAAATAAATTTCAGTTTCCATTAATAAATTATTTATGCATGTGATAAAAAGAATAATTAAGATAACAGCAAACAAAAATATAATATTTTTAAATTATTTAATTCAAAATTATTAATAAATAATTAATTTAATTGATTAAATTTATTTTTTTTATAAAAAATTTTGAGTTCAAATTTTATCAGTGATTATCATTTTAAATACACGATATGTAAGTATTTATTTTATATTATTAAAAATAATACATTTTATTTTGATTTGAAAAATTAAATAATTTATCTATCTTTGATTTTTTTACCAAAAAAAACTATTTAATCCAAAATTAACCATATATGATTAAGAAAAAATATATATAACATATATGGGTGTTTCTATTTAGTCATTTAAAAAAAAGTTTATTGAAATATTAATGTTGATCAGTATCGTAACCTAAAAGAAGAAATGTTAGGCCATTTTTTAGTTGTTACTTTTATTACTTCTTTTTAATAATTAAAAATTTTTACTTGTGATTAAAAATAAATTAAATGGTTAAGAGTAACACATTTAAATATAATTATTTAACATAAAAATTTTGCTAAATTTTGGTATTTTAAATTGTCAATGTTTTTATTTTTATTTTTTCATACATATTATTATCTAATGTTGCAACTAAATTTATTTTTGTTTTTTATTTTATAAAACATGCATGATTAGAGCTTGGCTTTTAAAAATGTGTGCTTGATGGCTCGATCTATGAACAAGTTTATATTGAATTTATCCAATTATATGATGCATGCAATTTTGATAAATTTTACACTAGTAATAATGCTGATTAAGAAATAGATAATACAATTTAATATATAAAAATAACATTGATATTAAATAAATATGCATTTAAACTTGTAAAATTTCAAGCTAATTGTAATTTTGTTAAATTTTCGCAGCTCAGATGAATTGTGGAGCAACACTCGATTGCTCCCCATGGACAGTCAACTATCTCTACCTATTTTCTATTAGAATGTCAATTGAAAGTCTGTGACTCGTTTTGTTCTTGAGCAGTCGTTGGGCTGCCGACTGCTCGTATCCAGTAATTGACACATTGTTTTCTGGTATTTCACTCTCTGCAACAATTCTTTTCAAATTATTTTTGCACTATTGTTTCAACGTTTCTACCGTTTCTTTTACAACATCATGTGTTACAAACTAATCATTAGACACATTAAAATAAACTTAGAACAATCAAGTTTGGCTTAATTTTTTTTTAATTTAACTCCGCATTTTACAAAAATCACGCACAATTACTGATATCTATTTAAGATTTTAATCATAAAATGTATTTTTCGATCGATACCGTGAAAGTCATGCTATCAAAATTAATAGGAAGAGAAGCCCTTTTTTTTTTCTTTTATTATATATAATTTTTGTTTTTATAAAATAGAAAAATTAATTATTTTTTACAAAAAAAAAAATGTAATTTAAAAATAAAAAAATTGTAAGTACGAAGATTAATTTCGTATCAACAATTTATATAACCAGTTATTGACGTGCTTATCAACAATTTATATATTTTTTATTTATCACCTTTTAATTGTCAATCCTTTTTCATTATATTATTTCATTGGATAATTCAACTATTACTATTTTTTTAAACCCAAATTACATACCCAATGACAAATAATTACATAATTAAAAATCTAACTCTTCTTATTATATGCTTATCACATTCAACGACACAAATTTTGATAATAATATTAAATTCAATATGACATAATTTCTTTTTTTTTAATTACAAATTTTATCTTCAAATATGAAAATTTTGAACTCAATTATTTGATAAAAATAAATATGCATCAACAACCGAGTTAAATATTGGGTCACATTGCAATCTTTTTTTTATTAAAACCGTAAATGAATCAAACATAAATGAATAAATAAATGTTTGTGTTTATTTGTTTATTTTTATAGATATTCGTATTCGATTTATGTTCGTTAAAAAATTTACTTTGTTTATTTATGTTCATTCATTTAAATAATAAATTATTTGTGTTCAGTTATTTTTATTCAATTAATTTAAATAAGTTTATTCATGAACATTAAACAAATATATTTCATAAATATATATAAATGAATAATTCATGAACAATAAATAAATTATAATCAAACAAATTTAAATAAATAAATCTTAAACGAACATAAATAAATTCAAACAAACATAAACGAACCTTAAAATAAGATTAAAGTAAATAATAAATATGTAATTTTATTAATATTATTATAAAATAAATAGTAAATGAATAGCAAATAAATAATAAACAAATAATTTTTAAATGAATCATAAACTAACTTATTCTAAAATATAAATGAATTAATAAATAATTATTCGTTTAATAAGCGAATGCATAAATAATATTCAAAATTATTTGTTAAATTTAATTAACGAACATAAATAAATAAAAATTAAATATATTTTCGAATCGAAAACTTTATTCCTATGCACCTTACTTTTTATGAAATTATGATCACACGAACTCAATTTATAGAAAGAATCATGAAATTTTGATGTGACTTAATTGCAAACACATAATTCTAATACAATAAAATTCATTAATAAAATCAAAATTATAAGTTTAATGAGTTTATGATAATTTTTATAAAACTGAATAATAGTTTTTTTTTATTTGAGTTTGTCAATCATTAATTTAAATCGTTATAATAAAAATATAATATTTTAAAGCTCATATCATATAAAAAATATTGATTTTATGTAAAACTTAGTAAATATATTTTTAAAATCTAAATTATCTTTAAATACTTAACTTAATGATCAAGCAAATTTTAAGAAGTCATAAAATTAGGGTTTGACTCTAATCTTTTTCCCTTGATGTATGACTCTATCATTTTGAAACAAAAAAAATCAATTAAAAGTATAAATAATATATTAATATTTATAAATTATAAAATTTTAATTTAAATAAAATTTAAATTCGATTCAATAATTTTTTAAGTTAAACGTAAATTCAAATAACTTAACAAGTAAGTTAAATTTGAAAATTTTAATATCTAATTCAAATAACTCATAAATCTAATCAAATTTTTTATATTTTTATATATTTTTATTATTTTATCATTATATTATATAAAAATTGATCTTATTTTTATTTAGTAAACAAGTATAATAAAAAAATCAAATAATTTAATTTTTATTTCAAATTAAATTAAAAATTAAAAATCAATTAAATTTAAACAATAAATTTTGAATCATCTTAAATTCAAAATTTTTATTATACCAACTTCTTTCGACTAGATTATAATTGTAATCCAAACTGCCGATTGACAGCTGTACAGAACAGAACCGTAGAAAAAAAAAATAAAGAAAAATAACAAGGCCCCGCAATTATCGCTTTCTCTCTCGAAGTTCAAAGAACATTTCACTGGACATGAAAAATAAATGCCCCGATGACGTCGTTGCATATGTCATCATGACTATTCCTGATCCAACGGTGTAATGAGGCCACGTAGCGAATACGATTTTCGGAATTTAATTTCAAAATGAGGAACAGTAAATTATTTGACTTTTGAGGACAAGACAGAGAAATAGTTAATGATAATGATATACTTTCTTTATTCAGTCCTTTCTTCCTTATATTTTTTTCAAAATGGAAAGTAAATTGAAATTATGTCCGGACCCAGCTTCCCGATGATGCTAGAAAATGAAAATAGGGATAATTATATATATATATTTAAAATAATTATGTAATCAATTATAATGTGATAGATTGATATAATATAAAAATTTTAAAATTTAAAATTTGATGTCTCAAATATTAAAATTAATTACATGAAAAACTACCTACTATATCATTAGTGAAATTTATAAATTTTATTAGTAAAATTAGAGTGTTGGCATATGATTATTAAGATTATTTAAAAATTAATAAATAATTATAATTAAAAAACAAATGAAATAATAAAAATTTTGATTGTAAATTTTAAAAATTTTATTAAAAAATATATGAAATAATAACTTCTTTTTTTATTCACAAAACTGAGTTTAAATTTTTTTTTTTCTCCATCGTTTTAAGTTTCAAGGAAAATTTGATAGGAATTATGGCACATGCGCTTAATTTCTTATTTATTGTTTTCACACAAATTTTTCATTTGTGGAACTCAAAAGTAATCACTTTAAAGTTTTTAAACTTTGAATTTATGATTTCATATTTATTTTGCTAAGAACTGCTTAAGAGCATTATTTAAAGTTAGTTATTCTTGAAATTAAGGTTAATTTTATCATTATATTATATAATTAACATTGAATTTTATTATTAAACTTTATTATTTTTTATTAAAGTTTTTATTAATTATTATAATTGACGGTTAATATTATAAATTGATCTAATGGATTGAGAAAGTAAAATATTAAATTAAATAATATCAAACCGATTTGTTAGCGACATCTTAAAATATTAACAAATCTACCTTAAAAGGCATATTTTAATATTAAATTTTTTATGGCATAAAGGTAAAAGAATTTCTTAAACAAAAATTTAATATTTTATTTTAATTAATCTAATTCTAATACTTTTATTTTAAATTAATTAAAATTTTAAATATTTATTTTTATCTAATTAAATCTTTATATATTTATTTTCACTTATTTAAATTTTCGATTGAATGAAACCAATTAATTATTTTCCTCTAATAAGAGGTCAATTGATAAAAATAAATATTTAAAATTTTAATTAATTATAACAATTTAATAAAAATTTGAATAATTATTAAATTTTAATTTCAGAGTTTTTTTTACTGTTTGTTTTTTTATTTAAAAAATAATGGACTTAAAATAAGTTATTTGAATAAAAGACACTTACACATGCTGTTGAATCAAATAATAAAATGCAAAATTGAAAATTTTAAATGAATAAATATGGTCATTGACAAATAAATAAATATATATATATATATATCTTATATAGAGATAAGAACATAAGGTGTGTCATTTACAAACAAGATTGAAATTGAAAGGCCACAAAATCCAAAAGCATAAACGTAATTTCCTTAACTAACTACCTACCCACCCACCCGATATTTTCATTCTAAAATTTGTCTAATTTCATTATTTTTTATATTTAATTACTAAATAATAAGGACAAAAAAATCATTATCATTTTGAGTTTAATTAAATATTTAAATACAAAAGCATCATCGTAAAAAAATATTTTTTTATTAAAAAGGTGGCAATTTGATTTTATGATATTTAATTTTTTGAAATATTATTTATTAAAAATAATTATATGTATTAATTTAATTAAGTATCGAATTTTAAAAATTAGATTATTGTTATTATCATATAAAGCTTTTTTTTTCATTGAATTTTGATTCAATGGTAGAAATTAAGATAGATTTATAGTCTACATTTTCAATGCATAGGAATATAAAAACATAGGTAAATGCTAAAAGGTCTAGAAGTTCAACACATGAAATTTTTTTAAATGATTTTTTTAATAATAATAATAATAATAAATTTATTTGAAAAAAAATTTCATAATTAAAATATTTTAAACTCGTAATTTTTAAAAATTTATCAATATGCATATCAATTAAATTATATTAAATTAAAATTAAAAGAAATACAGGTTTTAAAAATTTTAAAACTCAAAATTTATAAATCTTATTTTTAAAAGCAAAATTAAAGTTGAATTAGTTTGACAAAAAGTCAATAAAAAAAATTATTTTGGAACGAACAAAAAATTTCTCAATATGAACATGATTCCGGACGAGTGTGGTCCCTTTAATATCAAATTTTTATAAGATAATAATAAGTCTTAAACATCATGATTGTTATATGCTCAATGACTAGGCTTTATTATAAGACAATCACTCCACGCTTCTTTAAAACCTCCCATATATATTTTTTATTTAAAGGTGAAGGATTTCTAGACTTCGCCTATCGTTTATATTTTTTTAGTATAAGAGAAACATTACGGCACGAATTTAAAATTTCTTTATTTGAATTTCGCTTCATCGTTATCGTTTGAATTAAACCAAATGATATTCTTATTTTATTATTATTATTTTTATATAAAAATTATAATTTTAAAATAAAAATTTTAAAATTTAAAATTACTAAATATTATAAATCAATTGAATGCACATGATTGCTCATTAATAAATGCAAAAAAATAATTCAATATGTACTTTTAATGTGAAATATACATAAACAAACGAATCAAAAAGGCCAGAGATTAAAAAAAAAGAGATTAATTTCATAAGTGAAAAACCTATGTATATTGCTGTCAAAATGCCTTTAGATCATCATTTTCCTTGAAGAAAAGAACAAATCAGTATTAATTTTCTTCTCTATATGGAATTGCAGCAATTAGTCAAGGATTCTGGTAATTAACATGTATTAATTTTTTATAAAAATCTTAATCTAAAATAAAAATTATAAATATCATTATCTTAATAATATCAATGTTGTAATTGATAATGATTAAAACTTGTCGTTAATTAATGATCTACAAAAATCTCGAAGCATATCCAGCTTTAAGAAAAGGAACGAGAAAATTGGAAAAGCAGGACACAAAGACAAAGTAATGTGACACAGCGCAGCCACATTAAAAAGTGATAAAAGAAAAATAAAAAAAAATTAAAATAGATTATTCATGTATTTTTATCACATAAAATATTAAAATTTATATATTTATATAATTATTTTATATAACAATTATGTATTATAATTTATATTGATATAAAAATATAAAACATAAAATTTTTATTTTATAAATTCATTTTTAATTAATATTATTATAATTTTAAATTGTGTTAATTTTTTTTATTTTAAATTATCAAATTCAAAAAATAAAATAAAATACTCAATAAAATTAAAATAAAAAACCATAATTTTCCAGATGAATGAATTTTAGCCACACGACAATTTATAAACTTTTTCCCCCTAAATTTCCGATCAAAAGTCCAAGTTTTCATAGTCACAAGAGTCTGCGCACGTGTTTTTTATCCATTTCCTCTCCTAGTTTCAAATTTCAATGATCAAAACGCATGTCTCTTTCAAAGCTTAGCTAACGTTTTTGCCTAAGTGTTCACGGGTCATTTAAGATTCTCTGAAGTAGATGTATTTATTTTATTTTAAATATATATAAAATATAAAAATTATCAAATCAAAATTTATTAATATTACAATAATGAGATTTTTTTTATTTTTAGTATATTTAAATTATATTTTTTATATATTTTTTCATGCTATTTATCCTATTATATTTAAAATTATACGCTTTTGTTCTAAAGAATCTTCTATTTTTTCTTTAATATTTTCTATACCCATCTTTCTCGCAACTTTCCTTTTCCTTTGTCAAAAACAAACCTTTCCAATTTTTTTTTATTTATCTATCTGCTCCTTCCACGAAATCACCTTTCTTACTAAAAAAACCAAACTTTCGTACACTTATATAAACCCCAAAACATTGTTAAATTATTTCCCATTCTCATCCATCATACCTTTACAAGGAACACTTAATCTTTTTTTTTTTTTCTTTTTTGCTTTTTGTCGTTTTGATTTCTTCAATGGATGTATTGGGCGTTCGCCAAATGAAAATCAACAAGAAGAATGCAAAAAAAAGCAATAGTAAGAAAGATATTAAAGTTGTTTACATTTCAACTCCTATGAAGGTTGAGACATGTGCCTCTCAATTTCGAGCTTTGGTGCAAGAACTCACCGGAAAAGACTCCGATGTCGCGGCCCGGTTCATGGACAACTACGACAGTTCTGAAAATTCTCCTACCAATTCCGAGGCCACGAGGGTTGTCGCTGATGATCCTATGGTTGGATTGCCTTTGGTTAATTCCAACCACGAATCCGTGTTTGAGCCATTTGATGATGTTGGACTTATGTCCGAAGGGAGTATCTTGGGGCTGTATAGTTCAAATTTGTTTTATGATCCTTCTCAGTTTGATGCTATTAGAAGCTTTGGTTCAGTTTAATTTTGTTGGCCAAATCTTTGGTTCAGTTTAATTAATTAATAATTTTATAGTCATAGTCTTTTTTTTTTTTTTCATTAGTGCATAAGTAATATTCTATTGATATTTTTTCTTGAGGCATGATAAAATTTTGATTTTCTTAAATGAGTGCTGTGATCACTAAATATTATTTACCTCTTGATATTAATTAAATTGCTTTACTTCGTTGGCATTTGAGATTTTTAAATTTTAAATCATGATTATTGAAATTAAAAATTTGATAATTTTATGACGAATGTTAGCTATTTAATTAAATTACTCTAATCTTGGCTATTTTCTTACTTTTAAATTACTCATAAAAAATGTATATGCATATGCCAAATTTCAAAAACTATAGTAAAATGGAAAGAAATGACAAAAAAAAAAAAAAAACTAAATGTTGGTTATTTGGGTAGTTTAATAAGAAATAAAAAGTTCTTTTTTGTTTTTATTTTATTTTTGTGGGTTATAAAGTATAATATCAAAATCAAAATAGTCCTTGCAAGGATTACTACCCATTAAAGGTAGTCATAACACTAAAATCTCTTACATTAAACTATTATATATTAGTAGTATTTATGCAAAAAATTTGTTGGAGAAAATTTGTTGCTTTAGAGAACTCTATCTATGCTATTTGAGTTTGCTCAAATGGTAAGGGTGAAGTGGGATTTGAGGAGTGATTGGAAACTTGTTTTTATATTCAAATTTAGTAAATCTAGATATTCACAAATATTTAATTAAAAAAATGTGCATGTAAAATTATTGAGAATTTATTATTATTTATAAAAGAAATAATTTTTAATATTTAAGTATAAAGTCCAATACTCAAGTGAAGATTTTTTTTTGTTGTTGTTAAATTAATGAAAATTACGATCAAAATTTAACTTGGTCGACATTTTTAAGAAGTGATATTTCACAAATTTAAAGTTTAAATCTTATTACTTATAATTTCTTATTTTATTTTCAATTGTGATTTCATTTGTAAAAAAAAAAAAAATTAATGAAAAGCACTGCATTCTAGTGACATAAGGGTAAAAAGTTTATAAAAAAATTAAATAATCGTTTAAACTCCTAATATTTTATTATGATCAATTAAGCTTTAAATATTTTTATTTTGAATCAATTGAACTCTTAAAAATTTATTTTCATTAAATTAAACCTCTATACATTTATTTTCACTCAATTAAGACATTAATTGAAAGGCAAAACCAATTTCCCTCTAAAAAAAACTCAATTGATGAAAATAAATTTTTAAAAATTTAATTAATTACAAAAAAAAAGTAATTGGATAATTATTGAATTTGAGTTTAATGGGCTTTTAAACCCATTTTCCCATTCCAATTTTCAAAATTTCCATCCAAACCTCAACAAGTGCAAATTAACTAAAGTTTAGAACAAAAGTTAGCCCAAGACAATAAGGTCCGGCCAAGAAACTCACTTGCGCTTGTGAATTGGATTACCCATATCAAGCTGAAAAAGAAGATCAAGCCCAAATTGCCCACAAGTCTAACCCAACACGTTGAATCTTTTGAAATTTGAATTTTAACGTACATAAAGGATTTGTAAATTATAATAGCAAAAATAAAAAAGAATTACTATTTTTATTATTTATAATAATAAATTTTTTATTATTTATGATTAAATTAAATTTATGATCAAAGTTCAAGTTAGATAATTACGAGTTTTGTTTAATTTTATATATTGATTTAGTGATTTATTTGTTTAATTGTTTATTAGTTTCTTATTTCCAAATACGACAAAGATTATTTAACTATTTTTTATACATATGATAAAGATTATTCAACATCTTGAAATAATTTTATTTTATTTGGAATTTATCTAATTTATTTAAGATATTAACTGTTATTTATATATTGGTAGACAGAATTATAAGTATTGCAAATCAAACTTTAATATTGCGAGAATTAATTATTAAAAAAATAAATAATCATTTGAGTTAAATTTATATTTTTTTAATGTATTATTTTTAAAATAAATTCTTAAACTCTAATTAATGAAGTGTTTCTTTGATGTAAAGATTTTTTTTTTGTTTTGATAATGCTATGTCATTTTTTGAGCTTAATTTATTTTTTAGTAATTTTAAAAAAGAATATAATTTCACCTTAATTTAATGTATTTAAAATATTATTTTTGAACTACTCTCATAAAAATTGAATTTTTAATTAAATAATGAATTTCTTTCCTCATTTGTCAAAATAATTTAACTGATAAATAATATAATTTTATAAAGAAATAAGAGTGGAATTTGTGTTATTTTTCTCTAATTAAAAAAAAAAAAACAGAAGTAAATAAAGCGGAAGAAACGGGTTGGTGAGAGACAGGGAAAGTCATAACTCATTAAACTCAACAAAAGTCACCTAAGTGAAAACAGCTTCACCAAATCAACACTCTAACCCAAATCCCCAAACAAAAAAAAAAAGACAAAATCCTTTTACTCTTCTCTTTCTCTTTCTATTTTTTTTTTCTTTTCATTTATCAAAATATAAAATTTATGATCTCTTTTAAACCTTCATTTTCCATTTAATGGATCTGCCATTTTCCCTTCTCTCTTGAAAAGAGATCTTTTTTTTTTTTGATTGATATAACCAAAATCCCCTTTTGAGTTTCTGAGATTTTTTTTTTTTACTTTCTGGGAAAATAAAGAAGAGAAAGAAAAATGAAGGTACCTTGTTGTTCAGTATGCCAAACGCGGTACAACGAGGAAGAGAGAGTTCCTTTGTTGCTTCAATGTGGCCATGGGTTTTGCAAAGAGTGTCTTTCCAGGATGTTCTCTGCTTCACCCGATACTTCCTTGCCTTGTCCCCGATGCCGCCACGTGTCCCTTGTGGGTAACTCGGTTCAGGCTTTGAAGAAGAACTATGGGATTTTGGCTCTTCTTAACTCGAATCCCCAATCAGCTGGGTCCAACTCGAGGAAGGACTTTGATTGCGATTACACGGATGACGAAGAAGATGATGAAGAGAGGGAGGATGATGATGAAAATGGGGATTTTTTTGATGACTTGGCGGCTGGTCGGAATCACCACGCTTCGAGTTCCGGTGGTGGTGCCGCCGGATGCGGCCCGGTGATTGAACTGACAGCTCATCCGGAAGTAAAGTTGGTTAGGAAGATGGAAGGGAAAGGGGAAGGGAAAGGAGAAAGAGCCGGGGTGGAAACGTGGGCGGCGGTGATTAGTGGGGCCCATGGCGGTGGAGGAGGAGGAAGGCGGTGTAAGCATAAGGTGGCGGTGAAGAAAGTGGGGGCTATGGAAGGCATGGATGGGGAATGGGTACAGGGTCAACTTGAGAGCTTGAGGCGTGCATCAATGTGGTGTAGGAATGTTTGTACTTTCCATGGAGTTGTTAGGTTGGAAGAAGGTAGTTTGGGGATTGTTATGGATAGATGCCATGGGTCGATTCAATCTGCAATGATGAACAATGAAGGGAGACTTACTTTGGAGCAAGTTCTAAGGTTTTGTTGTTATTTTAAATTTTGGCCCCCTTTTTTTGTTTAATGATTTATTGGTACTTCCATTGGTGTTCATTGTGTGAAATGTTGTTACTTCTGTTGGCTTCGGTATCTGGGGTTGTGCATCTTATTCTCTTTTTGCAAAAAAAAGGTTTGATAGGTTGCTAGTAGACTAGGGCAAAACGTGCTAGATTTGATCTGTTTTCGGGTGGTATTCTTCATCTTATTCAGAATGTTGGTTTTTGTGGATTTGGGAAGATGGGAGCAAAACTTGATGTTTTATGCTTATTTTCCTTTTGTTGATGCTTGAGAAGTTGCTGCAATATGTTGTGTTGTTTAGTGAAAATTCTGACTTGCTAGGTGTAGTGAATTCTTGTTGCCTTGTATGAAGTAGATTAAGAAATTGCGATTCCATGGGAAATGGTTGAAAAAAAATGTTTCTTACATTGGAGATTTATGAATATTGAATGTAACTTTGTGCTTTAGTTTTATTGGGTTTGATTGTAGGGTGATCAATCTATTTCATGGAAGCTAAGACTGTGTGGTAACCTTTGATATCTAAAATATGTAACTTTTCTAATGTATATGTGCAGATAGCTAATGAATAGAACATTTTAACTTTAACCTCTTAATGGAAATTCCTAGTCAAGCAGTTAATGGAAATTCCAAGTCAATGTGCTTGTTGATTGACATATTTGGTATGAGCATTCTTCTATTCCTTATATGCAAAAGCCTCATAGTGGAGTGATACATTCATCTTGAACTAGGGTAATCTATATGGTATTAGTAGATATTATTTCACATTACTTCTGGTAACAAGTTGGTAATGCCTATGATCCATTTGTCATGATTACCATGCGAGTGTGGAAGGATCAATATCATGTGAGTTTGTTGCAAGTACATTCCAATCCGATTATGAATGTCAAATGGGGCAAATGCGAAGTTAGGAGTAACCAAGTCTTGGTATATGTTTTGTCTCCCCCCACCCCAAAAAAAATGTTGCCTTTTGCAAGGATGCCAAACAAATGTGTTCAAGGAATGTTATACATTTATTGAAAAGAATTGAGTGCTATTTGGTTTTGTTGGTTTTGATCGGTGATATTGGCCGGGGACATTGCTGAAGCAAGATGATTTCATGATTAAACTTTTCTTAAGATTGGGATCATTTTACAGTTAGATATGTGGAGGAAAATATTTTCCAGGACTTAAGTAGCATTAGTGTTTTGAATGTGACAAATTTTGCATGATCCACTATATGAAACTGGTACATGCGTTCATTTATTATATAACACCCAAATTTACTTTTCATTGCTGTAATTAATATAAGAGCTACTAATGCAGGTATGTCTTTAGTCATTTTGTCTTATCAAAGGGAATGCAGTTATTATTTGCATTAAGCAAGGAGAAGATATAGTGATGTGTAACCTTGATTCTGCTGAGCAAGAAAGGCCCACTTTCATTTCAGATTGCTAAGTATCACTGGGCATTTATCAAAAGTGCTAGGCCTTAGAAATAGCTTTATATATGTTTGGTAAAACCGGAGAAGCCCAAGACTTTTTTGAGGGAACATTTTTCTTTGTGAAAATGGTAAAAAATTGCTAAAAGTCAGATTTGAATCTTACTAAGAAATGCAAGTGCAAAAAAGTTCAAGAAGATAGTAAGAGGTATCATTAATATTATATGTTGAATTCTATGTATTGATACTATGAATGAATTTTAATGTATGCATTGTTACT